ATGACATGAGTTAGAAGAGTAATAAGATACAATCGGTTAAGAGAGAAATATATGAGTTCCATTAAGATCTGCAGCTATTAACTCAATAGATTAACTCTTTCAAGTTAATCTATTTTAATCCAATATTTTATTAATATAACATAAGCGTAAAGTGTATATGCTAGAATCAAATCAAAAGATATAATGATATATTAAAAGATATAGTGAACATTATATATCATATTTATATTATATATCATTATCAATATTTTTCATTAACTGGTTTTTCGCGCTTTCAAAAACAAAATGACACTTTACAATCTTTCTAGTGAATAAATTGAGTACCATATATAGCGACGTTTATCAACCAATGATCCGCCATTTCAACCACCGATCCTCAAAATATAGATATATTTTTTTACAAGAAATTTTTCAAAATAATACTTTCACGGAAAATATTAGTACCCATCCTCATAAAAAATTAAATATTTGCTTAATCCCCAGGACGTTTTGGAGCAAGCAACACTGTTATAGAGCATCTTGTATTTGACTTAACGTTTATTAAACCTCAAAGAACTCTTTCAAACAAAATCCTAGATAATTTTCTTGATACCATATCATAAGTAGTTAAGATAACATAAAACAATATTTATTTTTGATCCATTTTTTATTCTTAATATAGTCTCCTTTTAAGTCAAAACTCATATAGTAAAAAATAATCATTAGGGACGCTATTAAACAAACAAGGTTGTTAAAATACAATATTTCTATAATAACACAACCCCCAAAACTTTATATTCTCCATACATGGCACCCTATGACTTTTTTCTATTACCCAAACTCAAGAACGGGGAACAGATTCTTGTTACTTTACGTATATAACTCATTAAAACACATGTTTCTGTTGAACCTGCAGTTTCTTATAGGTACAACTTTACTAAACCCAACTTTTTTTATCATTGTTTAGAAAAAAGTGAACTCTTTGTAGTGGGCGCTCTTCTTAAATGTCGATTCCATATAGTGAACACTCTTTGAAATATATTTTCGCTGATACTGGAAATTAAAAGAACTTGTTTAAACTTAAGCCAATTATAGTTTCAGATCTAATAGTAAAAATATATATTGTTTGTGGAAGGAATACTAAATACAGTATATTTATTCATTTGCGACTTAACTTAAGAATAAGAATGTGAATGTGACTTAAGAATAAGGAAGTGAACTGCTAGGTCTTTCGTTATATTAATGTAATACATATAATATACTTTTTTTATATACAGAATGTTCTTATTTTTTGTTGAAAACAATAATCAAAGGTTAGGTTAAGTTAGGTTATACCGGCGTTTCCTTTGGGATCTACTTAGGCCCATTATGTTACAATATATAGAGAAAAATTTAGGGTTTAAAACCATTTAAAATCTTTGATAAAGCTCACAATGCTCTTTACAGCTACTTGGCCCATTTTGTTACCTTCTAGAATCTTTGGCGAAACTCACAATGCTGTTTAGTGTCAGGTTTTGTAACTGATTAAGATTGTCAAGAAAGGAGGCTCCTAAAGTGTTGAGTTGGGCAAAGACAGAGTAGATGAGTAGATTCCCATCGTTTTCCCCACAACATCGGCAAGTATGATTAAAAGGAAGATTCAATCTTCTAGCACGATTCCCTAATTTGCAGTGACCTGTAAGTAAACCCAACATAAGACTGATATCTCTACTGGGTATCTCAACGAGAATATCGTCATCGCCTTCCCCACAACAGCGACTGGTATGATTAAAAGGGAGATTCAATCTTTTAGCACGATTCCGTAATTTGCAGTGACCTGTAAGTAAACCCAACATAAGACTGATATCTTTCGATGTGAATATCGTCATCGTCTTTTCCATAACAGCAGCAGGTATGATTCCCTAGTTTGCAGTGACCAGTAAGTGAAGTCACCATAAGTCTGATATCTATATATACCCCGTATCTCAATGAGAGTATTTGATTTCCTTTTAGTCGAAAATGGCCAGATTGCATACAGATGACAGCATATCGTAGAGTCTTCCCATTTTTTATTAAAAATTTCAACAAAAAAAGAACTCAGTAACAATCGAAGTTAGCCAATTTTTAATTGATTACCCTAATTGGCGGAAATAACACAAAAATAACAAAAATTGATTTGATAGAGTTAGGAAAGCAGGCGTTCTTGTGATGGAATCTTCTTGTATCTCTATCAAATAAATATCGTATACTAAATATCGTATATTATATTAAATATTATTTACTATAATTTTTTTCAACAAATTTGTTAAAATAGTTATTTGAACGATATATGCACACTATAAGTATTTTTTTTTATCAGCCTGATAGTCATATATGAGTTTCCTTTATGTGTAACATATATAAATGCAGTATATATTATGCAAAAAAAATTATCGATAGTAATAATAGAGTGGTTAGTGTTTATGTTAAAGACACTCTAAAGCTACAACTAAACACGTTCTTCAGTCTTTTTTTTCGAATCGTTTTATTGGTTTAATTCCTTTCTAGACAGCTTGCAGTGCCGCATTTCATATGGCAAAGCTATGCATGTAATGACTTCGCGACCCTATCTTGAGAGTCTAAAAGCGAAAGTAACTATTAAAGCAGTTCTGCGCAAATGCGTTCAGCAGTACGCAATCGTTTTATGCGCCAATAAAAACCATAACCAACATTCTATAGAGCTTAGCTTAAGCTGACTGATTGTTTTATTATATTGTACCTTCCTGAGCCAACTTTTTTCTTCTTACTTTCAAGCACCTTTTCAATATTTATGCAGGGTCACACGCTCTGCAGTGTGCATGCATGCAATAATGTGCATTGGAGAAAGAAAAAATGAAAGTTTGTGTTCATAAAAACGAGACGGAAAAGAAGAAATTTTTTGAAAAGTATGAAATCTTCCTTTCTTTCTTGAAATTTTATTAAAATATTTGAGTTTGTTACCAAATTTAAAGTAATTTGTGAAGAAAAAAGAAAACAACTTTTTCTTTGTTCCTTTTTTTTTTTTCTTGCTTTCTTAGTTGCTGACTTTATCAATCTTAGGTACTCAGCCTGTTGGTTAGTTTGTGTGTATTTCTCTTCACAGATCTTGCAGCTTCCACCGACACCGTCTGCATTTTCTTTAATCATTAATACAGAAATTCAACCATTTGTCAATCCGTTCATCAGATGAGAAGCTGGCATATCCGTTGATTGACTCCTTTCTCCATTTAAAAATACATGTACTTTCCATTATTTTTTATTATTAGTACATTTCGATGGAACCACACCAAATTTTTATGAAATTATAAATTTAACGTAAGCGCACCACGCCACAGCCGTTCACATCGATAAGTTTGGTGTTTGTGGTGTCGGCAAGACGATTTTTATATAAACTTTTCCGAACGGGGAACAAAATCGATTAATTTGCGAAATTATAAACAAAGAAAGAAAGAAGCGAGAAAAATAATACGCCTTCAAAATTTGAGTTGCGGTAACGCCCATACATAATACGTTCAACTGCACTTCTGCTGCATGTCAACGATCATTGATCCCAATCGGAATTTATCGATAAAACTGCAACGCCTTCAATATTGTATCAGTGTATAAATTTCAAATATTTTTTAAAGGTTTATTAAAATATTTTAATCAAAAAAAAATTTTTTTTTTACACTTTTACAATTGAAATGAAAAAATGTATAGCCGAAGAATAGCAGTATTTTCTGTGTGGTATAAGATATTGGGTTTCTGTGACTACTAATAAAATGCTTAATATAGACATAAAATATTGGAGTAATCAGAGACAATGCATAGTAAAACGTTACCTAATATCCACGCTTGAAGAAGTTCAATTCTTCCTTGTTGACAAGAAGTGTAAAAAATTGATATATGTTTTGGCGAGATTAAAATTCATTATGTATCAAAAATGTGTGTGGCATTTATAAGGCGTTTATTTGCTATTTATTTGCTATACATTTGAGCTTGATATATGGTATATTTTTAAGTGTACTGCGCTAGCACAAAGCCCTTTGAGTCCAATAGGTCAACTTGGAGTTTAGTGTTCAAGGTGTGCGTGTCATCAGGTGTCTTAGTTTTAAGGCCCTTGCACTACGCCTGAAATGATAAATTTTTGTCTTTCTCCTTCCTAACTATCATAGACAAGTAATGGAACTTTCAGGTGGCTACGGATCGTCTTCAGTAAGTACAGAACAATTCTAAATTTAGTACCCATGAATTTTAAAATATATTGCCATTTCACGCTGTTGAAGGTATTTCGAACATCAAGCATTATAAGAAACACTATCCGCTGCGAATGGTGGTTTTTCCTTCCCTTTGTGCTGTTTTTACATTCCATATATATCCTAATATCCCTATAATGGGATATAGGTATTGGTAACTTGAAAATAACAAGTTGTATTCAATTTAAAACTGAATAAACATTGAAACGTATATTGCAGTAATGATGTTTCTTACCTCTCACGTTATTATAGAAAATCCATTTCATATTCTTTTATTTCAAGAAAATTTCACATTACATTGGATATATAGCGGTATATAAGTTGTTATATATAAAGCGCTTCGTATTATTTAATAATATCAGTTGAATTATAAAATATTGTAAAACCTCTTAGATTATTATAAAAATCTATTTATTTAAGAAAACAATTTATCGGTTGTTGTAAAATACTAAAAAAGTCAGAACTCGATGTTATGGTAATGATTTGGTATAATAGGACTCTTCTGGCCGCAATACCGGCTGTTGAGCAGTATCACGACAATAGTTTTAATAATATGGTGATGTGAACAGAAATGAAGAGTCAGATATCGTTTTTAATAATACCAAACTACTACCATCATAAATAAAAATTATTTGTTATAATTTTAAACCTATTCTGAGGGCCATAATAAGTTTTATAGATTTTTCATATTCATTAATTATAATTTAATATTTTTTGAACCGACCATCAATTAATTTTTTTTTTTTATTTTTCTTTAGCGTAACATTATTTTCCTGCTGCTCTTTGCTCATAATTTGAAACTTATTTCTGTGCAAGGCTTTGGCTTCGACTCAGCTAACTCCTGCAGCCCAAATGGCAAGATATCAAGACGTGGACGAGCTCAAATGATAGCTGCAATACCTTGCGATCTAACTAGACAGGCGTACTGTCATTTACCTGGTACTGCATATCCATGGCATGCTGTGCGTCGATTTGTTTACGAAAACCAGGGATTAATGAAACGCATGTATGGCGATGTACGGCACATATCAATCTTACGCGATGAGATACAAAATAACGAAATCGATATAGAAGATGTTGAAATGGCGGCAGCGCGTTACTCGCGTGATGGTTTCAGACGTTCATCAAAATTTATGAATAATCGAGATGATTTCGCAGGATTGAAAAGTAATGACATTTTGATGGAACCACACTTTAGACCTGTTACTACTACCACAACAACTACCACAACAACTACCACAACAACAACGCTTCGTACTCCTACAAGTGCTGAATCAACGCCAATTAAGTCAGGCAATGACTTCGAAGAGGCTAAAATAGCAAAACCTGCATTAACAAGTAACGTACAGAAAGAGTCGACAAGCACTAAAAATTTTGAGAGTCCAGGCATTAAAAATAGCACAGTTCGCCCAAATGAAAGCACACAAACAACGGCAACATCAACGATTTCGAAAATAAATTTAAATGAAGACTCAAATAATTTGGAATCGAATAGCGTTTATGAAACACAATCTGTCACATCACCACAAACCGATCTGCATATAGGCGACAATATACAAATAATTGAATCACCACAATTGGGTCTAAGTAACATTAGTAATGAGGCCTCAACCATATCGACAACACTTAAGGTGATAACAGGCATGAAAAATGATGGCGAAATATTAAATGCAGCTGCAGTAGTACCGCCAGTACCGCCAGTACCGGCAACAGTACAAAAAAAACCACAATCGACACGTCAACGGCCGACGCAACAACATAAACAACACCATCGTCATCATCAGCAGCAACAACATCAATTTTTCAAAGTCTCAACAACAATCTTAAAAGAAAGTTCAAATTTGAAACCCAAACTAAATGAAAGTGAACGCACGCCAAGCAATGCAACGCCAACAGCTGCAACAGCAACAAAGACCACCGCGAATGCGGTGAAAGGCTCCCTAACTGCAGTACATAAAATCAATCCAAACAAAAACAAAAATCCAAACCATAGCAATAACTCACCTACTGAGCCAACAACGTCTGCTTCGTCATCAACATCATCATCGTCGTCGTCATCATCATCGTCATCATCGTCATCATCGTTGCCCTCATCATCATCATCTGCAGCTTTAACATCAACCGCGTCTTTATGGTCATCCGCAACATTACCATTAAAATCGTCCATTTCATCAGCAGCAGCATCGTCGGTCGCATCATCGGTCGCATCAGCGTCTGCATCGTTGACGAACGGTGAACTACTTTTGGGTGAAAAAATACAAAAACCGCCAACAGCATTAACATCTTCACTACCCGCTACAGCCACTCCATCCACAAAACCTGTAGTGTTGCGCGATGGGCAGTTGTTTCAAGACACCATAAAGCAGGAACCAGCGCCAGTTGTCAATTTAAGAGGCGTGTAAGTATACTTTTGCTTACAATAGAAATAATGGGTGAACAAATAATTACCTGTACGTGACATCGTACTTATTAGCTTGTTAAGTATTTTAATATATTGTATGAGTGAATAATTAACTGCATTCACCATATGAATTATAGTATATGTATAAGAAACTAACTTTTAAAAGCCATTAAGTTTATTGAAAGATGGGAAGACTTTCTACAGCTCGTTTGCTTTAAGAAGGAACAGGGAAATAAGACTTTTAAGCATTGATATGAATATTTCTCAGATAATCTATATTTCGATGTATTAAGAAATGATATGAATTCTGTTAAAAGAGTACTAGGAATTTATAGTCTAAAAGACAGTAGCGAACAATTAAACAAAAATATTTTTTTAAAACTATATTTTTTTACTCTGGCAAGTACGTGTCAAAGTTAAAGGTCAAAAGCTATCGTATTTGCTTCAACAATATAGCCAGAATAGTGTCACTAGAATTCTAGAATCTTTACAATTTTTTAGAGTATTTTGAGTGCAGTTTATGTTATATGATAAAAGGAGAGAAGATTAGCTCATAACCCTCCCCTCCACATTTCTCCACTATATTTGCTTAATGTGACCTCGTACAACTTTTTTATTTCCGAAACTAAAATTACAATTTCTGAGTGTCCATTTGAACTCACTTAAGACCAAAAATCAGAATACGTGTCAAATGTGGGGATCTACTCGAATCTCTACTTGAATTCTAGAACCTTTACTGGAATTTTTTATCGTGTTCTTCAGATACTGATCACTAAAAGACCCATTTTGTTGAGTTGGTACCTAGGTCTAAAGTGTACTGTCAGAAAACCGGTGAGAATTTAATATCTTCACTGCATAGAGTTATAAGTCTATAGAAAATTTTTTAAGATAGGTTGTCCTGACTTTGATCTTTTCAGTTTATCCAGAATTTAAATTTGAATTTATTCGATTATTTGAGTTTGTCCACTATACGTTCACTCTCCAGAATACCAAATGGGTCAGTTACAAGTAATTAACGTTGGTCTACTCGTACAATGAACAATCAACCTTATCGTTGCTTTCGTGTCCTTTATGACCTGAAACCTACTAAAGGTTAACGTGGTTACTTTGTACCAGTTCATTAAGGAGAGTTGAGCAGTTATCGAATATATTCTGAAAGAGTTTAAAGCCGACATTCGTGCAGGTGGCCATAAGTATTAGTTTCTTCGATTTTTCTCTATTCCTCTGCTTCTTTTATTTGAGTTGAATATTAAGATATTTTTTTTATAATTTTTCTATAATATGTACGTCGCTTAAACTTTTTCACTCCCTATCGTTTTTCCATAGTTTGTTTTCTTTGGATATAGTTTCATTTAATGAATAATTTTTTTACTTTTTATATCAGTCTTATTGTTTAGGAATATCAAAATTATATGAAATAATTATATTATAAACAAATAAAAAAATGTTATTTTATGCTCCTTATAAATATCATAAAATATACAATATAATATATAATATATTTATATTATGTTGAAGCTGTTTTGAGCTAATGCATTTAAGCACTTATACTCTTTTTTAACTCGAGGTTTCTTCAAAACCCCTCTTTGCGCCTTGACTAGATTATTGTTCATTTCATCAAACTAAGCAATAATTCACCTCAGATCTGCATACCTCCCCGAGGAGCTTGTAACCATTCTGAGATTTGATAACCCGGTGTTGGTAAGTCTGTCAGATTTCGCAAATAATTCCAGGGCTCTATCCTTTATGTATTTTTTGATGGGATCAATCTTGATGTCCCTGAGAATGTCATTCGTCCTAATGTATATATATATACATTATTAAATATAAAAAAAAAAACTAATGTGTACTCAACTTTGCTTTCTTTTATAGAAACGCTTGTCCTGTAAAGGAGGAAGTGGTGGCACCGTTTTGGGCAAATAATACACGCGGTGAAGTCTTGGCATTACTGAATTTATATCCATTCGAACAGTACGTACACTGGGAAAAATGCACACATGAACATAAGCAAATGTATTGTCGAGATGGCTGTCGTTGCGAGCAACAGTATCGTCTGCACCGCTTACTTGCCTACGATCCACATAACGAATGCAGAGGCATCTTCTCCGATTGGTTTCGTTTCCCATCGTGCTGCATTTGTAAATGCTATAATATACCTATGGATTTTCGTGCCACTTCACGTAGTCCACGATCGGAAAAATTCGAAGAATATCGACATCCAATAGAAGTTGCCGAAGATGAAGTGAAGAAAGCAATATACGAACACGCAACCGAAGAATGGTACCGACCAAAAGATGAATTCGATTTTTTCGAAAATTAATAACTTAAAACCTAAATGTTATACATATTCATTCAATCTTATAATTTCTTTCTTATGTTATTTTATTAGTAATTAAGTATTTAAGGATAACTCTTTTCAATATATCTATTTTTTTAACTAGTCGTAATAAGTTAGTAAGAAAAGCATTATGTTAATTGTAAATATAGCGCGACATAATGTTTCATTTATCAAACGAGCGAATGTACCTTGGAAACACTTCTTTTAAACAAAAATTCATGGTTTTGTTTAATTTAAGTTAATAATTTTTAAGTTTTTAATAATAATTAAAATTAAATTATACATTATCATTTCGTTAAAAAATATTTCTAGCATTTTAAAAAATCTTGTGGCCATATTATGTAGTATATTTTATATTGAACTTGGAACTTGGAAACTAGAAAGCAAGTTACAGGTATCCAAAAGAAGTTAAGATTCAATAAAAATCTATATAAAATTTCCGATTTTTCGAAGTTTAGAATTATGGCTTGAGGGCCTGAAGACCCAAAAAATGATTCGAATAATTATATTTATACATATTAGTAATACATTATGCTGAACACTTTTTTAATTAATAAAACTGTCTGACAGTCGATCTTGAAGTAAACTGTTATCAGTTATAATTGTACTTATAGTGATTCAGATATGGATCTTGTCTGCAAAATATAAAATCTTCAGCTGTACCCAGAATTCAAAAACATTTAAAAACAGTGTTATAGATACTTTACCACACAGTCTATCATATAAATAGGTTTACAAAACATAAAGATTATTAATATTCCGATATATAAAATAAGAACTACATTAATAATGGCCTTGAGTCCTTCACTCTAACATGCAATATTTTTCATAATTAAGGAATTTCAATTTGAAATCAATTTTTTAGTCGTGGATGCATAATTTCGATAGTTAATGCCAAGCGTTTATCCGGATTTTCGGATTTCCTGGCTTATCGATTTCTATTATATTAAACTACTGCTATGGTATATTATTAACAATGTACTTAATACCTAAAACTTAATAAAAATTTTTAACTATTTTGTTTTTTTATCATTAATAGTTTTAATTTATTAATAAAAAAAATACTGTTATTATTATTTTTTGAATAGTTGAAGAGAAACTTGTAAAATGTTATAATTATATTCATATACAATATAGTATATTTTGTTTTCCATAATTTAAGGCTAGTGATAAAAATAAATTATAAAATTATATAAACATACGCAATAAAATAAATTTGTAATATTATAATTTTTGTATATTTTTATTATAGTAGAAAATTCATTTTTATGAAATATGATATATTAGTATATGAGAAATAATAAAGTATTAGTCTGCTTTAATAAAACTGAGTAGTGTATAAAGAGACTCACTGAGAGGTAGCGACTTTTGGGAACTAAAGCAAAGTTTATATGAAAACATTTAATTAAAAAAAAACTCTTAAATCCATTATATTGTGTTCTAATAATACCATAGTTCATAAAATATGTTAATGTATACAATTATATTATTGTCATTCATATAATCTCTAAAAGGAAAAATTATTGAAAGTATGGTAATTAAAATGGAATAAAATTTTATTCCAACCACCAACTTTTATTACATCTTGGTTTATTTAACGAAGTGCCGCATTGTGTCTCTGTCTTTCATCACTTTCTCTCGTCTCTAAGTTTTGTTTTTTTTTTTAGAGAAATTACCTTAATTAATCTCTCTTTCTCGTTTTCTTACAGTTTTACTAATCTCTCAAATATTTTTAAGAGCATATTTTTAAATATATGCCTTTATACAGAACTCAACTGATGATTTTATATAATACGATAAATATTTTTTTTTTTTGCATTGTTTCAAATAAGTTTTACACCTGTAAGGCACTAACGGACAATTTATAACTCTAAACAAGCTCATATTTGTTTTTTTCTAATAAGTTTGTTGTTATTCTAGCCCTTTGCAACCCAAAAATATATTAATATTGCCTAGTATAATCCCCTCGTATTTTGTTAAAAGCTATTGCTGACATGAATATACTTTTATAAGTACTCTCTACCCACAGTCTTATAGTCCCATTAAAATATGATTATACTTTTTTTATTCTAAAAATGACTCTAAAACCATTTTCCAATTTATTAATAACGAATACAAGTTTTATATTAGAGTAGGCATGTTTCTCAGATATTCAGTCCCACTAAAGTGTTTGTTTCTCCGTCTTGACCTAGATTTACTTCAATTAATATCCCCCAATCCACACTTGCTCCTAAACATTCCCCTTACCTCGCACGCAGTCATCATCATTACCCACATTCTAATCTATGTATACGTATTTGTAATTTGCATAAATAAATCTTCGCTGGTTAATACAATATAAGCTATAATTCAGTGTTCCTTTTTTAAGAACTAAAATATATATGAAAATAACTTAAATAGTCTTAATTAGGCCTGTCCGAAGAACGACACATGCCCACGCCTAATATTTGTGTGGTCAACAACATGTTTTTAATCTAGTACAATTAGGCTTAATTGCCTTTGGTATATTTTGGTAAAATTTCAATTTCTGAATTATAATAAATTAATTAATAAAATTAAATATAATGAATTCACACTTAATTCATTAATTAATTCTTAATGGAAGAAAAATAGTCTTATCAACTTCTGGAAAGTCAAAAACCATATGACGAGTAGAAAGTCTAAGAAATACCAAACGAATTAAGGTGCAATCTATTTTAAACTTTGGCAGAAAATATTTGCAAATCTGCAATGAAGCACAGATCTCTGACAGAAATTAAATACTATCTCAAAAAATAAATTCAGATGACACTATTTCTTTTGGACAGAACATATACTGTCTGTACAATATTTATATGCTGTTAGAATTCCATATACTCTACTGAATCCATATTATAACCCATGTATTCGTATTTTATAATAACTTTTATGTCTCCTGTTATATAGTTCTCGTCAGGCCTTCAATAACAACAAAAAGATTAGGATAAAATTGAATGCAAATGCAAGAGTTTCCAATAAACTAGATTCTCTTTGCTGACTTTGTCAAAGTTTTATTTAAAATATTTTAATTGTAATAAGCCCAAAAACCCGAGACTAGTTTATCATTGCACTTCAAAGTTTCCCAGCATTACAATGCTGATCGGATCTATGACTTTATTTTATACAAATACGTATAATAGGAAAACTTGAAGAATATAAGGAACTCATTCATGTATAGAAGGAAATATTCGAAGTCTGTATGATGTTCGAATATTTTCGAAAAACTCGCAGTATTCAAGTAGTTAGCATATTTAAACGGTAAAATACTCGAAGTTTAAACCAGTTAAAATAATAAGCAATAGCGTAACGACATCCAGGCAGAGGCACTGGAACAAAGCTAAATCCGTTGGACTCCTACTACTTTGATCAGCAATAGGAGATTCGTCAGATTCGTTATAGTTTATATGATTACACCACGACTTTATAATACACTTCACTTAGAAACAGTGTGAAAGAAATAATTCTTACCAAGTAGACATTAATATACGTTATTTCACAATATTTAAGGAGTCAAAATAGTATATACATAAATACTGTTTAAATAAAATCAAGTAAACTCAAATACTTCGATAAAAAGTGAAATTTTATTTTTTCAATTAAGAAAAGGAAATAATTTTTATTTACTAAGTCTTACTTTGACAGATGATAAATTTATTGAAAATTTTACATTGCATTTTCAACAATGTTTAAAGGTAAATGAATTAATTACAAATTTTAAAAGAACTTTTGAGCTTTGTATCATTGAAAAAAATTAAAAAAAGAGAATAAAAAAAAAATATAACAATTAACTTATACATATACATATATATCATTATATTAATTTAATAATTTTATGATTTATTATTATAAAATAATAAAAAAAAATAAAAATATATTTAAAATTTATTTAATGAACAACTATTAATTTAAATTATTTTTTAAAAAAATTTATTTAAATATATAAATAAATTATAACAATTAAATTTTAGATTTAAACAAAATTAAACGGAAAAAATGATTAAATTCAGCTTAACTGGATTGATATGCTCACTAATTGAAATCTCAATGATTACAGAAAAAAATTTTAATTATATATACACCTAGGTTATTTTTAAAATTTTTTCAAAATATTACTTTAAAATATTGTAAAAAATTATGTTTTATGTTAATAACATAAATTGTAAGTTATAATATTAAGTAAATTAGACTGTTATTGTTATTATTATTTAACTAAGACGTAACAAAAGGATTTGTAACAGTCTTTCTTTTAATAATTTAAGATATTTTTTTTGTGCTTTACGTTATTTATTTTTTATAAAAATTTAACATTACACACTTCATCATATTTTTTTAAATAAATTTATAACAATAGACTTCATTTTTACATTTTTTATGGTACAAAAATTTAGCAACCATATTCAATGCTTACTATAGTTTTATATCATTTTATTTTGTTTACTTTAATGCCTTATATCCTTATAACTAATTTCTATAAAATAAATAAAATATTGTTTTATTGTACAATTTAAAAAGCAATTTTTAATTACCATTGGTGTTTTTGCTAAGAAGGCACTTATGTAAAGCACATATTTATTGGTTAATTATTATAGTAAATCATAATTTTTGACATCAAACTTATAAATAATACATGCAATGAGTACAAAAAATTTTTAACATAGAAAGGTATTAAAAAATACTAAAGCTTCTTTACGATTTGTCCCAAATAAAATTTACATTAGAATTAAATGTCTTCATTTTGTTAGAAATACTTAGCGCATATTAACAACAAATCAAGACAAGTTTAATATATTGTATAAAATAAATATTTCTATTATTTTGGGGTATTATTAAAAAGAACATATAATTAAAAAAAAATTAAAATGATTTTAATACAATATTTTTTCATTTTTTATTAATTTTCGAATTTTAATTTTAATATTAATAACTTACTGCGTCAGGCCAAAACTCGGTAACGGGTTATGGCCAAATAAGTAAGTAATTAAGTAACTTACTTATATAAATTTAAAAAATAAAGTACATGAAAAATTGTCACTAAGTCAATATTAGATTGAAAATATTTAACGTTAACGCAATATGTGTGACAAGTAAGACAATAAAAAACAAACTAAATAAAATTTAAAAGCCTTTACATTACTAACTATTAGTATACATTAACAATTCTTTTAAATTAAATAAATTAAAAATATAGTATAATTCGTGGTAAAAATAAAATATAAAAAATTTTAAAATATTAAATATAAATTGCACATATTTAGAGTATAAATTAATTCAAAGTTTTTTACGATAATTATAGTTTACACATTCAAAATTTAATTGTTATTGCGACTTTTACATGTTGATAGTTGACTTAAGTGTTTTTGTTTTTCTACTGAAGATATGTTTTAAAATCAAAATTTTTATATAAAACTTAAAATCTAAAAATTCAATACACAAATTAGTAATTTGGCTTTTTTGATATTATTTGGTACATTGCAATAAATTTTTGTTTTAGAAATAATTTAACTTATCAACAATTAATGTAGTTAAATATTTGAATACCAGAAATGAAAAATAAAATACAATAAGTTGTACAATAGTGCTTCATAGTGTTCGAAAATCCTCAAATTTGAAAATTTATATTGAATACTTTAAATGTTTCGACTTGCTAGCAGTTCCAGTATATTTGAATATTTTGATCGAACTCTTTATATATTTGAAAAGGCTCGAAGGTATTTCATTTAATAAAACTGCAATTATTTTCGTTTTGTTTTATAGAAATACGATTAACTACGATTAATAAATGTTTGAACATAATATAGTATTCAAATATATGCGAACAATATTTGACAAAACATTATCGAACAATAAAATGCTGAAATATTCAAATTATATTTGAAGCACTAGTCTGTAAGTTTAATATACTCAGAAAACAGTTTTTCAACTGCAATCTATTGCAGCGTCCTTTAACTGGAAAATATTATATTTTCGACTTATTTGTTGTTTATATTTTAAAAAATATTGGTATTGGTATGCGAAATATAAATTTTTTGGTTCGCAGTACGTTTTATCTGACTTAAACGCTGATCTAGCTAATTAAACTTAAGTTTATACAACATGATAAAAGTATAGTTAAATAAAATGTATTAACATTTCTAGTTTTTATTTGTAGTTACAGATTTCTCAAGCTGAGCTAATTTGCAAAAAATGTTATTAAAAAAGTCATATGATTATGAAATATGAAAAAATAGTTATTAAAATTTACAATTAAAAAAAAAAAGATTCACCTTAATTTCAAAATAAATGTTTGTTTATAAAATATAAACAAAGTAAAATTTAAAATGCAATTTGTACAGTACTTTTAGAATTCCTTTGCAACATGAATTTCATAAAATTAACATACTAAATTAGGTAGGTACAAATCGTAAAAAAAGTTGACTGTAATGTCAATTAATAATAATTTATGAAACATTTATAAAAAATACTATGAGTTGAAGCTTTTATGTTAAGCAAAAAACCAAAAACATAAAAACTAATTTATAAATACGTAAACTTTAAAAACTATACAAATACTAGGTTAGTATAAGCAATTAATTAAAACAATACAATATAGCGTATGCAAATTATTTTGAACTATTTACATAAAACACGCATATACATAAATAATTAATAATAAAAAAAATACTTAATTACAACAAAATAAAACCATGAAAATAATAACCATAAATGGTAAAAAATAACTAACTACTTATAAATAGATTAAAAAGCTTTTGAGTTTCTAAAAACGTTGCTCGTTGTTGAAGTTTTTACAATAATTCTTTTACATTCGTTCTGCTCGCTCGTCTGCTACACAAGTTTGTGGTAAAACTTTTCTTAATTAATGTGCGTTAAAATTTATTGCTGAATTCACTTGTTCATTGAATTTTATAAAAATTTTAACTATTCATTCCGGTTACAGGCACCCAGAGTAATTTATCTTGTTCCTTGTCAACTGAATCTTTGATTTGAGTGCACATATGTTTGATACTAACGCCGGGTATAACAGCTATAGTAATATATATAAGAAAATATATTTGAAGTGATTTTTAAAAAAAATAAAATTATTAACCATTTACCAGATATATACTGTTTGTAGTCCGTTTCCAATTTGAGTGCCCGCTCATACATTTCTTTAGCCGCTTTAGCAGATATTTTATCTGTGCCAAAGTCTCGTATTTCTCGTAATTGTTTTGCCGATTTAAAGCGTAATAGTAAGACAATCGGATATATTTGTAAGCGTTGCAGACGTTCAACAGCTGATATTGATATGTCAAGTATACAATGACGACGATCCTATAATAATAATAATTATTTTAAAAAATCTCTACACGTCGACTTACGGTTTCGCAGTGACTTACATTTTTAAATGCATTGTTAATAGATTCAACAGTTGTGCATTCAAATTTATTACTACGACGACGGTAATCAACAAATATGTTTTCCTGCAAACCCTCTTCCATTGCTTCTTGAGAACAATCCATTGTTGTAACTTCACATAGTTTAAAAAGATTGGAAAAGTCAATTGTTAAACGATCCATTACGCATTCTGAAAGCGGTCCTATTATAAGCACTGGGCGACGTACGGGTGCTAGAAGTAAAAGAAAAAATCATTACCATATGCAAAAATTTTATAATCAATCACATTTTAATCACAATTAGAGCAAATCTACATTGATACTGACAAATCATAATCTAAGTCTATAATAGCGTAGTGCTTTGACAATAATAAATTTTCATTAAGCACGCTTACAGTATCCATATTTCGAGATCACGGTTGCATATATTGAGTTATTACAATGTATCTTTAAGATGTATGAAGAATTCTTAAAGTTATATACCTTACGCAATCTTTTAGTTATTGATGATATTTTCTATTTAAAAGGTGAATGCCCGACAAACAAAGGTGCTTAAGGTCTACGCTTGAAAATAATGTAGCATCACTAAGTACATATTAAATGACGAAAACTAGGATATACTAGCAAAATTTATTAGAAAGCTTTTACTTTATAGACAAAGTCTTATAGAAACCCCACACGTTGAAGGTAGAACGAATTTTTGTAAGTGTATAATAATGTACATAGGTAGAAATATAGTGAATATATAAGAATATTGAATATATTGAAGGATATATATGTTAGATATAATACATTCAAAAATAGAATAAAATGAATTAAAATTATATTAAAAGGTATAGAATGCATTAATATAGTAAATCAAGCCTTGTTATGACTTAGGTATAAATGTAAAAAAATTATAATTTATAATAAAAACTAAAAAAGGTTGAATACAAAATAAACTGAACAAAATGTTATTATTGCTATTGATGAATTAAAAATAAATTAAAATTAAATAAAAAGAATAGAATGAAATAAATTAAAAAAACAGAAGGAAATCAAAAAAAGGACAAATATATAAAAAAATATAAATTTTTTACCGGATGTTGTTTATTTAACACATAACTTTATAAAATTGTTTTTTTAAATAAAATAAAAAATTACAGTGTTACATATTTAGTTATATTTATATATAAACGACGTAAACTCAGTAAAAAAAACAAAACCTACATAAATATCGATCATAATAACAATTTATTAAAAAAAAAAATACAAAAAAGATAATTTATATATAAAAGAAAATAAATAAAAAAATAAAAAAATAAAAATATAAATAAATAAAAAAATAAATAAATAAAAAAATAAATAAATAAAAAATAAATAAATAAAAAATAAATAAATAAAAAATAAAACAAAATACATAAAAATTAAAAATAATTAAAAAAAAAATAAATAAATAAAAAATAAAAATAAAAGAATATATAAAAATAAATCAATAATATAAATAAACAATATAAAAAATAAATAAAATAAATAAATAAAATAAATAAATAAAAAAGGAAAATGGAATAAATAAAAAAAATAAAATGGAATAAATAAAAGAAACAGAGGGAAATAAATAAAATAGTGTTATTTTATTTATTTATATTATTATTATTTATATTCAGGGACCGAAAATAACAGTTATTTTAAAATTTTTTATGAAAAAAAGCAGCAACAAAAAGTTGTCTAAACTCTTATTTAAGTAAATAGTTATCATTCTAATAACTTTTATCCTTAATATTATGCATGCTTTTTATATATGAGCTTTTTAAAATAAAACTCAAAAAATAATAATTAAATTTGATTTTTATTATATTCATCAAAAATAATAATTATTATATGCTTTTTATTTTTTTCGCGCAGAAATAACTCTTAAAATTTGCTTCTTATTTTAAAACGCACAAATAACTGGTATACTTGCGTTATATAATATAAAAAGCAAGAGTATCGCGCAAATTCTGCGCGATATTTTTAAAATGAAAATATAAAATGCAATTTTCATACAAGGTAGTTGTTTTTGCAATTCCATAGAAAATGTTTGAAAAGGTTGGTGCAGGTAAAGATTTAGTTCAGTTTTTTGTTTTAAAAATTTGCGCGATACTCTTGCTTTTTATATTATATAACGCAAGTATACCAGTTATTTGTGCGTTTTAAAATAAGAAGCAAATTTTAAGAGTTATTTCTGCGCGAAAAAAATAAAAAGCATATAATAATTATTATTTTTGATGAATATAATAAAAATCAAATTTAATTATTATTTTTTGAGTTTTATTTTAAAAAGCTCATATATAAAAAGCATGCATAATATTAAGGATAAAAGTTATTAGAATGATAACTATTTACTTAAATAAGAGTTTAGACAACTTTTTGTTGCTGCTTTTTTTCATAAAAAATTTTAAAATAACTGTTATTTTCGGTCCCTGATAATAATTATTACTTTTGATGAATATAATAAAAATCAAATTTAATTATTATTTTTTGAGTTTTATTTTAAAATGCATATGATAACAGTTATAAGATGATTTTTATTTTTTTTAAGATAACTGTTACGGTCCCTGTTTATATTTATTATTATTTATATTTATTATTATTTATTTATGTTATTTTATTATTAATTTATAAAATAATATATATACAAAAAATAAAATACATAATCATAAATAAATAAAAGAAAAAAAATTAAAAGACAAATAAAAGAAAACACATATAAGAAAATAAATAAAAGAAAATAAACAAAAAAAAGTACTTGCATAAAAAAATATTATTAATTTACTTGTACTAATATAAATAAGTTAATAAACATAAACAAACAAACAAATCTATCATATAATTTACCAAACCGATATAGTTCAATATATATCAAAAAAATAATGAAATATATATAAACAACTATATAAATGGATTTAGTATTATAAATAACGGACTAAATTAACAATGTAAAAAGGATTTAAGTCCCCATTTTATTTTAAACTTTATTTTGCTCTTAACTATGCATGTATGCATGTAAATTACTTACAATCTAATCTTTCAACACGCTGATAGCTCAAAACACCACCATCGTCATTAAGAATTCCAGAATCAGGAAAGAAGCTTAACTGTGTATTACTAAAGCTCGCTATTTCCGTTGAATCTCTAGAGGAGCTGCGTTGATGCTTTTTGCGTCGAAAAAACGAACGACGCGCTGATGTGCTACCACGTCGAGCTGTGCCAGTTTCGTTTTCCGCAGCTTCACCCGAACGTAGCTCTTCTTCAACTCTGTAAAAACAATGTTTATGAATTTGTAAAGTGCATAAGTGTTTATAAAATCTTTACTTCATTTGACTTGGTATAATACCACACTCCTTACGATGACCTTTTGCATCAAGTTTCCATGCACGCCATAAACCAAATGTCCCATTAAAAACAGTATTATCGACATAAAGCACTTCATCTTTAATAAAACGTAGATCGCCATCGTTGAGATCTCCAGTGCGATCAAACCCCACGCGTATATAAAACGAATCACCTGATTTGTCTTTGATTTGTTTAAGTTCTAAAATGAAAAATACACATTAACAAGCATGACACAGATGCAGGTGCAAAGTTCCTACAGTATAATTTGGGTTACATACTTTTTAGTTTATTTTGCACTAGTATTGTCACTGTATCTGTCAACTTAGAGATTTCATTTGCTGCTTGTTCAGCAGTTACACAACGTAAATCCACGCCATTGTATTCAAGTATTTGATCGCCCTTACGAATACCTGCGTGATCCGATGGTGAGCCTGGATGCACGTCATGCACAAAAATGCCCACTTTATTCCCGCCAAAAAGTTTTATGCCCAAGTTTTTCGATTTATCCATGTGCAATGTAACATAACGTGGCTCTTCTTCGTATACAGTAGAAGTAGTGGAAGCTGTTGTAGTTGTGGCCGCTGAGGAAGGAAGATCCTGGCTACTGCACAAATCTGATTGATTTTCCAAACTATCTGCAAAGCTTTGGTCTTTAATGGATGGTGTTGTCATCATACTGTTCGATGGTGGCAGAATATTAACTGATGATATTTGGGTTGGTGTTGTTGATGATATTGGCAATGGTGGCAATGAACCCATCATAGTACGTACTGGTGGCCGCGGTGAGTTTCGTGGCGTTGGTGAGCCAGAATGATTGATGGGAGCTTCAGATTCCATATGATTTGTGCCTTCATATTCAGTCGAATGAAATTCTATATTGGTAGAAAATATAAAATTAATATATATAATATTATATAATATAAATTATTAAACTTGCTTTCGGGATTGTATTGCACGAGCATTGTAAAGGAGTTACCACACTGCCGCAGCACATTAGCTGCTATATCGTTTGTAGCCGAACGCATATTTAAACCGCATACTTCTAAGAGTTGATCGCCCACCTGAAGACCAGCACGGGTCGCGATACTTTTTTCGGCTACAGTCGATACAAAAATACCGCCACCATTGTTATTACAAGTTATTGTAATGCCAAGCGACTTATCGCTTTTCTCAATCGTGACTCTTCTAAGGTCTCCAGGGCATAAAAAATCCGCCGGCACATTGGAATTTCGTTTGCTGCCGCCATGACTTAATACTTCAACATGTACTTGGGGCATGGGAGAACCACGTCCACTACCCCCGCCATTAGCCGTTACATTGGCTACAGCTGAATGATGTACCACAGGTGCAGCAGGTAGAGTGGACTGATTATTTGTTACTCCGTAATGATGATCAATCGAACCTGAACTGTTTTTTACACCACTATTTTTGCTGGCAACACTTGGGTTTGATGGTATGCGTAAGCGTTGGTTATCCTTTTTACGTGGAAAAGTGCCACCCTCGTAAATAACACTACCGCTTGCATGAGGATGATAATGCGTATGAAGCGATTGTGCGGCTGATGACGGTGGTGGATATTCATGTAAATATGAGTGCGGATGATGATTATGAGCAGGTGATACAAAATCCATATCGAATTTATCCACAGAACTAGTTGGTATTCCAATTGCATTGTTGCTTGCGGTTTCCATATGTGAATGCGACATATTCGCATGCTGATGTGGTTGTAGTGGTGGAGGCGAGGGCAAAGTCAATGGACTAGAATGACGGATTTGGCGTAAAGGATGTGAATGCGGATGAGTCGATTGTGTAAATGTTGGGAACAGTTGAGTATAACGATTGGAAGTTGTGTTATTAGTGTGAAAACCACTACCAGTTGCACTGCCTACACCTGTACAGACCCCCCCTGCACTTATCATACCCGATGCTATGCTTTCACTATCGCTTGGATATTTGGGTACGTTTTTGGCGACAGGTACTGCTGGTTGAGCCATTGGTGCACGACGTGGATAATTTGATACTGCATATTCGCTAATGGGAGGACTTTTTGTTGATAGTATTGAATCGATGGAATTTTGCGATTTAAGAGAAATCATATCCAATGAGTTTTGTTGTACTGCTGAAGTGTTACGCACAAAACTTGTATTGGAGAGTATAGGAAGAAGTGGCACAAAAAGCGTAGGATGAGGCGTGGATTTACTGGTGTTGCTAATACCAGTGGACGGATTATTGTTGAACATATCGAACAGGTGCTGCTTCCTTGACACATATTCACCATTATTATTTATTACTTGTTGTTGCGCCTGCTGTCCACTTGTTTTATAGAATTCTGTTGGCGTTATATTGAGTGAGTAGCGATTTTGATAATTTTGTGTACGCTGGCTACTTCCATACTTATCGGATGGTGGTATCTTAACACGCATGGGTGCATTTTTTATTGGAGGCGGACCACGCTGCATTACCTTAGTTTGTTCCATAACTAAAGGTTCATGTTCCATTGGTGGGGTAGGGGCACCATAAACCGAATGACGCATATGATTTGAATAAATATTATTGTTATTGCCGTTGCTGCTGTTTACATTCTGATAGAGTATTGAGGCGGGAATTGGATTTGAATTACGATTTGGATTATTCTTAATAGCACTTCCGTTGCCGCTACGTATGTTTGCTTGTGGCTTTGCTTGAGGCGGCAATGGTGGTGGATCATCAACTATATCAGGCTCATCATCTTTATCAACATTAATTGGACCAGCTGTAAAAAGAGATAATGGTGCTCGTTTCTTTTCTGGACGCTGCACAATGGTCCCAGTTGGATTCTCATGCGTAGCATTAAGTATGTTTGTACGTGGCCAAGTGCCCATGCTTTTAGCAGCTGCTTCCTTTTCTTTCTTACTTCTTTTACCACGTTTTAAATTTTCTTTACTTTTTTCTGATGAGTTCTCACTTAAAACCGAGTCCAGAGCAGCTAAAGCATCGTTTTCTTGTGCAATATGATCAACATCCGAGCCTGGTTTTGACATATGCATGACTTCTTTAAATTTGCTTAACATTTCAGCTATTTTCGATGGATGCTTAGCGCTAGTAACACGATGCATCGAATCAATCGAATCTGTTTGTGCTGAAGAAGTAGTCATCCGACGTTGCACATCAGTGTATCCAGCATCCTGTACATTTTTCAAAGCAAAAATTGTTATGGACTCATTTCGTTCATCATTCAATAAATTCATCACGTCATCTATTGTTTGCATTCCTTCCATAGATTTGTTATTTATACTTAATACACGGTCACCTACATCCAATTCAGGTTCAAAAGACGCTAAAGAATTTTGCTCAATCTTTGAAATGAACACACCGGTATCCAAACTTAAACCGTGATTATGATTATCTTGTAAATTCAAATGTACATTATAAAAATGACGCTTACTGTGACGCGTACGGGACACTAACAAATTACAGCGTGGCGCACTTGCACGTATCTCATCCAATACCATACGTTTCGTCATGGTCTGACAGTCGATATTATTAACCTTTATTAATACATCATTAATTTTCAATTTACCAAAGGCTGGTGATATATTTGTTACACCGCATACCAACTGACGGTTATTTGTGTCATCTAATATGATGCCAATATCGCATTCTGAATGGTAGTTGCCTAATTCGATGTCTAGCATATCCTCGGCTTCATAAGTGCTCATACGAAAACTGCGCCTTGAAGAAGAATCTAAGTTTTGATTTTCTATTTGCTCTTTCAGCGCATCAATTTTTTTTTGCGCTTCATCTTTTAGTTTTTTAATCTTCTCACTATCACGTATAGCAGATAACAAATCCGAAATTGCTTTGTCGCGTTCTTTACGCAAGTTATCACAAAGTGTTTTCACTGAATCTCGTTCCTGTACAATTTTTTCCCTCTGTGATATGGCCCAGTCACGTACACGTTTTGCTTCTTCAGCATCTTGTACGGCTCTCTCTACTTCTAACTGTGATTTCTCTAGGTTCTTGCGCAATTTTTCGATTTCTTTAAAATCATCTTTGCTGTCAGAAAATTCTTTTGACCAAGAACTCTCGCGTGACTTTAATAAATCACGTTTCTTAAGTTCAGAATTTGCTTGTTCCAAAACTTTTATTTCATTTTCATACATTATAATATCCTTCTTATATTTATCGAGTTCTTTATTTGCTGCCGCCAAATCATCGGACATTTTTTGGTGCTCTTGCAACACATTATCTTTTTCAGAAAGTAATTGATTAAGTTCCTCCTCAATGCGACTACGTTGCAAAGTAATCAACATTACTTTATTTGTTTCTGTGTTCAATAGAGAATTTAATTTTTTTATTTCTTTTTCCATAATATCACGTTGCAAATTATACTGTTCTATAGAATCTCTATATATAATCAATTCTTTTTTCACACTTTCTAGCTCACTTACAGCTGAGCCAAAACTCTTCTTATAGTTTTCACGTTCTGCCGCAATTAAGCTGCGCTCCTTCATTAGCTCGGTATTACGATCCTTACATATATGTAAGTCCTCTATTAGCTTCTCGCTTTCAGTGCAGGTACCATCGCATTTATCTCGATTAGGTAACTCATTATAATCAGAGTAGTAGGCATTTGTGTTTGATTGTGAATTCCCATTTTCACTCTCCATACGCCTCAAATTCCGCTCCAACATATTAATTTTTTGTTTTAAACGTGTATTTTCAGCGGAAATATCCGTAATCTTATTACGTTCGGTACTTTTTAATTGGTTCATAGCTGCTACGTATTGCTCCTGATAAAAAGCTAATTCAGAGGCCAAATTGTCACATCGACGAACTGTACCCGAGTGCTGCAAACGCAAGGCTTTCAACTCAATTATTGCTGATTCATACTGAGTTTTTATTTTGTCGTATTTCTTATTGTTCGAATTGCCATTATTGTTACCATTATTGGCGCTATTATTCGCCATGTTAGTGGCCGTCGGGCTACCACTAGAATTTGACGAAGGCCGCAGTGTACGATCATAGCCTACATAATCTGTTGTTTCTTCTGTAATTTTAAAATGGAAAAAAAACACTCTTTATTTAATGAATTGATTCTACTATATTTATGAAACGCACCTTCCTGGCTGCTTGTACTGGTTAAAGAGAGATCTCCAGAAGCCATCTTAGCCATCACATCATTTTCTCTTTTAGTGTTGTTCCTCGTCTTCTAAGAAACACTGCGCAAATTGTTTTATTACAAATTTTAACTAAAATAAACTAAAACAAAACGAAATAAAATGAAATAAAACGAAATGAAATGAAATAAATTTCAAATTAAGAATTCATTTATTTATTTATATTTATTAAGTGTCTTCATACTCGTACATAACTAGGCGCCTGTTTATTTGTACACTGAGCGAATGTGATTCATGCATAATTACGTCATAGTAAGTTTTCGTACCCGCCTGATTCTGTTTAACACTTCCAAAACGTTCTTGTTTTTATATTAAGATAATCAAATATGATTTGTAAACTCGAACGTTTTTCGAGATTTTGGAAAGAAAAACCGAAACCAACCAAAATACACACCAAACGGTTATACTACTATTTTATTATTTAATTTAATAAATACTATGGCATACTAGCAGCAATTACGAGGGAGGAGTTTAAGTATAACTAAATAATCAATGGTCACGTCTAAAAGATAATGAATGTTAAGAAATGACGATTAATGCAGAAAATATAACGTCATTTTCAAATCAGCAAACAAAACAAATAACTTAGCAAAACACACTTTAGTTCAGGCCAAAAAGTTTAGAAGTGAATCGGCGAAATGCTTGAAAGACCAGTTCAGCAGTGAAGAAGACTAAATTGTTTATAGAATATAAACATATACATATATATATATATATATATATACCACATATATACTATATATCGCAGCACTTAAAGTATCTTGTCTGACAGTGTAGCGAAATTGCAGAAATGTGAAAGAAATGAATGTATGCAGATCTCGAAGGTTTTCGGCTTGGCTTAGTAACTCTTGAATATTATAGAACCAAAAACTATATTTCAGCTACTAGTTTTTGAGCACATAAATAATGAATTTAGTAACATGGACACACTAGAGTAATTCTGCTTGATTAAAACCAGTTTTTGTAACACTTTGCGCATTGTTTAGTTAATTTATAGAATTGATATGTTCTGATCCAGCTCTACGCATGATTAAATTTTACTTCGTTCTTTTGCGAACTGAGATTTGACATACACAAGGCAGCAAACAAAGTTCGTGAACACAACTTTTCAAACCCTGGTGTTGATCGATTATGGTCTCATGCTAAAATCATCAACCAACAAAGTTAATTCCTAAAAATAATACACTGTATCCAGTGCCAATAAGACAATTTCAACTAATTGAATTGAATTGATTTGAATTGAAGATTAAATTTTAACAATTTTAACATTTCAATCGCCTAACCCTGCCCATATCGTGTAATATATATAATATAATATATATAATATAATATATATAATATAATATATATAATGTAATATATATAATATAATATATATAATATAATAAATACAATATACACTGAGAAATTAAAATGTTTGAATCATTTGTTTTTTTTTGAATCGGTATATTATGTGGCAGCTATATCTAAGTTTTAAACTATATCCAAATTTTATTTAAATATCTTTATTAAAAACGAAGATAACTCATAACTAATAGTTGACTTTATATCACAACTATCGGATATAGTTATGGTCAATCCAAGAAATCATTAAAATCTACTATCGAATAGTATGTGTACAAACTTCCATTCGAATACTGAGAGAGTAATTTAAATTGAAACAGACAGACGGACAGGGGTAAATAGACTTACAACGTCAAGATGATCCAGTAAATATATATAGAAACTTTATGAAGCAGCACCTCTATGACGTTTCCTTCAAGACGTTACAAACATCTTGACAAATTTAATATAAAAAGTGCAATGATACCATAAAAGAATGAACTTCTAAAGTGACAAGTTTCTAAAGTCATATATTTCTAATATTTTTTTTATATAGACTGTATATATGTATGCGACGTATTTTCTACTTCTTTGTAACATATTCCTTTCCAATTTTTAAGAAAATCATATTTATACCAGAAAATACCAGAAAAATTTGCTTTTCAAAGTTAGTATCTTTAAAACTCGTTTTTCACTAAATTTATTACTTTATTTCAGTGTTATAGAAGACAACTTCTAAACATAATTTATTTAAAATGTCTACTACAGGAACTCATATGAAAAGTATAAGATCAATCACCTTCAAGAAACTGATAAGTAATTAGTTAACTAATACAGTTATTATAAAACAGTTCAATTCAAACTCTTAATAACAAAGTTATATCATTTGAAATGGTCTTAGAAAAAGAAATTAACTATATTATGTTATTACATTAACTTTTATATTTCATTGTGCTATCGGAATTGTAGTTCCGCAATCAGAAACAGTGGCGAAAACATATCGAAACAAAAAGGACTTAAATGAAGCTCAAGGCTTCAAAATTTCGCCGTCTAATTGGCCATTAGTCTCTCTTATGTTTAGAGTATTGTTGTACAACCACATCATTAAACTAATCCGAATAGATATATGGCAATGCCTGTTCGTCAAGCGTAGAAATCCTGCAAAGAGTTTAAATAATGATTCTAAGTATGGTAAATGGTACATCCTGGTATATCAGAAATGAAAACATACATTTCGATTTGGAAGTTCCGATGATTTAAGTCAAGTTCAAGAGAATAATGCAGACTTCAAGAGAATAATGTTAGACCTCTTGCTAATATGATAAATTATTCTAGTCATCCTGCTTTCCTAAAGCCATAAGTTCTGACTGTTTATTCAGAGACCCGTTAAAATAATTTACAATTCATTTTAAAATAAATTGTAGTATGTAATTTTGTTTTAAATTTTTTGGAGTTGTTACGGCGAAAAATATATTAGAAATTCTTCTGATGAAGGCAAAAGCGAATTTGCCGAAAAACGTATAGGATTATACTAAAAACAATGATCGAAATAAAAGTTAAAATTCTGAAAAAACAAAACCGACTTTATAATTGCAGTATGTGTCATATAAAATAATTTGTAATGTGATGTTACGGGGGCGGTTTGAAAAGTCAGTGACTTTTTGAATAAAACAAATTTTTTTCGGCAAATAAACATTTTATTTTTCTACATAATCACCTTTTAGCTCGATATATTTAGTCCAGCGTTTTTCTAATTTTCTTATTCCCTTCAAATAATAGTTTTTCTCAAAGCTCTCAAAATACGCGTTTATTTCGGTAATGACTTCTTCATTCGACTCAAATCTCTAACCGCACAGCTATATCTTTAGGTTTGGAAACAGAAAATAGTCGCAGGGGGCTAAATCTGGAGAATATGCTGGATGGGATAGCTGTTCATATCCCAATTCGTGGATTTTGAGCATCGTGACGTAATCAGCACACGACATTCACATTTTTCCATTTTCGTAAAAATTCACGAGGTTGTCTGCTTTGAACGGCTATCAAACACCAACTGTACGACGTAGCTTGCTCAAAATTAGAAAGTAACCCACTGGTAGATTACAGCTGTCGGCAGCACTGTTACATTTGGAATAACTGCGCGGGATATTCAAAAAGTCACTGACTTATCAAACCGCCCACGTATTAACTTTTTAGATTCTAAAATTTATTGTTAGGTTTTAAATAAAAGCGATTCAATAAAGAACAAAATTGTGTCATTATAAAAAAATAAAGTAACTTTAGCAAGATTCGTTGTTCAAAAACACATTTCATATAAAGAAAAGACCATCGTATATTATGTGGTTCTTGAGTCCAGAAGAAATTTAGAACCTTAACTGTTTGAAGGAAACTTTACGCACATACTTTTTGGGAGTTGGACTTGTTCATTTGTCGGATTGATCAAAATCATTTCAACATATACTCTAGCTATATTTTACGAAAAAACTGCTAGGGTAACCATCTGGTTTATGTATCGTTTGAAAACTATAACTTTTTGGGAATTGAATCGTAGTTATGTTTCTTTGACTAATACAATTATGTAGAATATATTATTTATAGTTATAATGTTTGGATTTCAACTGTGTTAAAATACAATACTCGTATGTACCTATAGACAAGATTAAGAAGAACTAAACTTAAGCTGAATTGCAGATTCATGCATTCAAAAAGTTTGCAGTTTGTCCACAAAGCAGTTTTATTTTTATATTTTTGTGTTTTTGTATTTTTGTATTTTTGTTTGTATTTAGCCAAGTACATGGCAAAAATAAATAAATTCATGACAATTTCATTTGCGATATACAAATGAAGCAAATTAACAATTGTACTGCATGTAAAATTGGTAATTTTCTTCGTGAAGAATTGCAATTTCTTGCAAAAAGAACTGCCTTAGTTGACATTTTTTAGGTGCACCACGTTTCTGAGAAGTTGCTTTATAACATTCTTTATAATACAAAAAAAAAAAATGCAATTGTATTTGATTTTTACTTTGTACATATGAAATGCGCATAAATTTAAAAATATTTAGTAAAATTTTAAAAAAATATTTCTTAGACAAACAAACGATGGCGGGCATTTAGTAGTGAACCATAGCGCTGCCCTGCACCTAATAAGCCAAGAAAAAGGTCAATTCATTTTTAATAAAGTAGAAAAACGAAACTAGTACATAAAAGTACACATTAAACTTTCATCTCATGTATCTTGTTTCTATTAAACTGTTGTAGATACAAATGTACACATGTCTATAGATACAGATGTACTGATCATAATATGTAAACACACAGCACCGCAAGCAGCAGCAACAGCAACAGCAACAGCAATAGCAACAGCAACAGCAACATCAACAGCAATCAGTATAAACATTATTGCGAGTATGTGAAAGTGTTGCATTTACTTTAATATAAGACACATTTTCTTGTATTCTTCGTTATTAGCACAGATACTCCTCGTATCATGCCCTGTGCAAGAAAATAAGATAAAAATTATGTTCAACACACAAATATAGGAGGTACTCGTATTGTTAAAGCATTTCATGCATATATGCATAGATAGATACATTCGTTCAGATTCAAGACCCAGCACAATGGAGGAGGCATGGCACAAGGCGTAAGACGTACGACGTACAACGTACAACGTAAGACGATCGAGTACCTACACCAGAAATACATGAAACACGAGATATGATAACGTATCTTGCACGCAAAAACATTCACTTGTGTTTGTACT